CAATATGAGGAGAGACTCTGAGAAATAGGCTTGTTCAGTCTGAGTAAGAGGAGGCTGAGAGGTTACTTGATAGCCACCTATAAGTATGTCAGGGGGGAGTACCAAGATCTGGGTGAGCAACTCTTCAGGAAGGCACCCCTTGGGAGGATGAGGAACAATGGACACAAACTAATACAAGGAAGATTTATACTGGACATACAGAAGAGCTTCTTCCCTGTAAGGGTAACTAGAACCTGGAACACACTCCCAGCAGAGGTGGTGTGGTCGCCATCCTTGGAGGGGATGAAGAGGAAGCTAGATAAGCACCTTGTTGAGCTCATTAACCTCCTGCCTGTGGCAGGGGCACAGACTTTATGACCTTCCAGGCCTCTTCTAGTCCATTGATTATATGATTTTATGATTCCCTTTGTGACAGCCCTAGGAGTGGTAAATATAGAATTGGGGAGGTTATTTTTGTTTGCTTTGCATGCATCTTCTCTGCTATCACTGTGTATCAGTAAAATTTGCCTATTATTGAATGGAGAGGTTGTGGTCACTATCAGGTTTTGGGTCTGCCTGGAATAAGGTATGTGGGTCATAAATCCAGTGCCAGCATATAGAAGCCCTTTTATTTGCCAGGTTTTTCTTTTCCAGAATACTAATATTTAACTGAACTTGTTCACTCAGGGTTTTTTTTTTTTTTTTTTTTATATTTCCAATTCGCTTTGTTTTACAATCTGAAATGATCATTTTTCCTTTAATCATTTTTAAAAAATCATGAACCAGATCTGAATTCTATCTTCCATCTTATCTAGTAGACAAAATGTACTTACAGGTTCAATTTCCCTCGTCAGTAGATGTACCCTCTCCTGGTTCATGGCACCAGGAAATATTCAAAGTCTGTGTTAAATTCCACAACCTTTTGGAGTCTTTCTCCCCTCCTTTTTCTGATCTTGATCTGCAAGTCCAAGCTTAGCTGAATTTCTATAGATTGGTCCATTATCTAGTTCAGAGGGATGGCTGGCTCCAAATCACTTATCAAGGGCTTGTTCCCAACTCTCTTTTCTGAGAGAAAACCCACCATCAGAGTTGAGAACTAATTTGCTGCTATCGGTATTCCTGTTCATCTTCATTTCTGTTCATCTTCCCAAGCTGTCACTTGAGTTATGGTTGTGAACAGAACCAAATAACTGGAAATGACCAAAGTAGAACCTTTCCGTTTTGCAGTAAGTTTCAATTTTTCAAAATGTATTTTCATTCTTCATTGGAATGCAAACAAAATGTTTCTCACATGTTTGCAAAAATGTGGATTCTAAGCTTAGCCACATATTTGGGATGCCAATATAGGCAGAGCATGGCGCTCAAAGCACTGGCATGTGCCATTGCATATATGAACATGTTTATCCTTTCACCTGGTTCAAGTTCCTGGGTTTCCCGATTTACAATTCTTAATTCCAGGGACTTCAACCTGTATTTCCCATATGAGTACTCTAGCCACCAAGCTAGTGAATACAAGTTTCTTGTTATCCAAATGCAAATGTCAACAAAGTATTTTGGCTTCAACAAAACAGCATACTTCATCAAAAATATTCCTCCAACAACCTCAACAAAAAGTCTCATATGGAGTTTCACTCTCAAAGATGGTGAGGTTTTGAATTATTTAATCTGTGACAATCCAACCTCTGCCTTCTGAGTCTCTCTGATTTACAAACATGGAAGAAAACTGTAGATTATGTTTATTCTTGCTTCTCATTAGCACTCTATGGCTGCCAAAACAAAGACTTAATCTCCATCTTCAAGTCAACGTTTAGCCTTTTCTGAGATGCATTTAGATGCTTTATCATTACATCTTTAGTTCTTATAAAACCTTTCATGAAGTCTCTGTCTCCTTTTTTATCAGAACTTGCTTGAGTTCATTTTACTAATTTTCAAGTTGTCTTCTTTTACTTCATTTTTGCCATGTATGAGTTGTGCATGCACGTCCATTATTTGCTCCACCCTGGTTCATCAGGAATACTGGTTTACAATTTCTCTCTAGGTCAATAGGAACCTATTATTTACTAACCTTGCCTATTATATACTAACCTATTATATACTGTCCTTTTCAATATGAGCCAATATTTACAGGCTTGCAGATTGTTTCCATTAGGAAGGAAAATTGATAATGAAGTCCAATATTTTCTACAATTCTCTTTATTTACAAAGAATGGGTATAGGTTCCTGTTTTCCTGAATAAAATAGGAATCAGATAGTCAGAAATGGTTTCTTTAGGAACTTTTTCCATGCAGTATTTTCACAAAAGCTCTGTCTTCACTTTTCTCAGTCACATTACAAATGAATTTCTAGCTTCATCTTGGTTGTTCTGATTACTAACTGCAGCTCTAGTGTTTCTGATGGTTCTTTCATATATGCTTATTTATAGTATCTTCAATTAAATCAATTCTAGTCTCTGTTGTTATCATAACCTAGGACACACTGCTTCGATGAAGCACTGGCTGGAGTGGATGGGGAAGGGAGGAGGGGCAGAGGAAGGGCCATGGAGGGGCAGACCTGGAGAGAAGTAGAAAATTCCTGTGTTTTACTAGATGACATTAGAAATCAGATTCCAAACATTTACGTGCATCTGTTACAGGGGATAAGGCATGAAGCAGAATACAATTAGGTCTGTGTCTGAGGTCACCTGGGATATGCAAAACTTCAATAGACTAGTTAACCTTCAAAGGAACTCACCTGAGACACGTGTGATTTCAACAGGCTAGTTAACCTTCAAAGAAACTATTCAGCTTTGATCCTAGCTTACATCAAGTAGGTCTATATCCCACTCTTTGCTCAACTGCTGTGACAAATGTCAAGGTGCTCTTTAATACACTGGATCTGTCACTAGCATAGTGTTTCTGTATTATATGTATGGATAGATATTTTACCCAAGGGTTTTCATATACAGAAAGAAGAGGAGAGTCTTTCTAATACTTGTTTAACAACTAATGCTTAAGGGATACTATTAAATAATGCTAGTGGTCCTGGGTTTGCTAAATTGCAAGTTGGCTATGTTCCATACATATAATTTGAGAAAAAAGGCTATCCAGATCAATCTGTAGTCCATAACAATACTAAATATATGTGAGCTTCTTGCGGTACTTTCTAATTTATGTTTCTTTTCTTTTTTTTAATTTGTTTTTCTCTGGTATTTTATTACAAAAAACAAATAAAAACACTTTGCTTTAAGAGACTGTCAGTCAAAAATCACCTATTAGCATGTTCCTGAGCTGGAATGCATGTACCCAAACCCCAGTTGCACCTGCAGGTTGTTAAACAGCTTGTATACTAAGGGTGTGTCTACAGGTTCATTAATGCACTGTAGTTAAAGCACATTAAGTTTAGTACTTGGATAACCAAGTACTAAATCAATGTGCAGTAACTCGCACTACTGCACAGTAGCACCAGTGCACGGATTTTTTTTTTTTTTTGGATGCCAGCTGCGCAGTAGCTTATTAGCACAGGTTTTGCCTGGTATGCTACTGCACAGTGTTATTAGGCTACTGAGTAGTTAGTGTCTCATGTAGAGGCACCCTACCCCAAGAATTCTACCCCAAGAAATAGGGGTAGAGGCCCAAGACCCATGCTGGTTATTTGCAGGAAGGAAACCACGACAACCACTGAGACTTGCCTATACACACCCAAAACAAACCACCAAAAAGATGAATATCACTTGCTAAAGGTTTCATTTTGTAACCATGCCCCTCATTGCTAGCTAAAGGAAAGATATCAGGTAACTATATACTAAAACAGCTAAAGCATCTCTTTGCATATACACTTACTCAATTGTCATGTCCTTTTGTTATAAATACTTATATGAGTTAGGCATATAATTGTATAACAGCTTTCCTAATATCCCTCTATATCACTATCATGATATGTGATATCACTTCCCTAGAATCCCTTTTCTAGAAGCCCTCTCTATCACTACCATGAGACCAACTATGATCTGCTATAGGAATTAAAGAATCACTTACAAGCAGAAGAATACAGTTGGGAACAAAACAGAATCACATGGACAGTTTTATGGAAAAAAAGTCTTCCAGATCAGAATCAGAGTCTTAACAATTAATGGTTCATAGCTTGAATAAACAGAACTATAATTTCCACAGAGGGACCTATTACAAACATATTCATTTATTGAAAATCATGGAACTATACAGCTATTAATATACAGCTGTATTAAAATTACAGAACATGTATGTGGCATAAAGATAAAACTTTTATTATTAGCTATCCATTGCTTGTTGTATAACCTTCCTTATAGTAGTGCCTTTCCTTGAAAGAATTGCAAACCATTTTCCACACACAATTATTTACTGTACCTTTCTATTATTGGTGAAGTAAATGATAAGAATAAGGTATACTAGAGAAAAACAGAAGACACTCATACAAGTGTCAAAATGACGAGATTTTTATATTAAAAATAAACTGAAAGTAGAAAAAAAATTAAGCAAATCAACCGAAGACATTTCTGGACTGCGTAGCCTAAATCTAGGTTACATACAGAAACTTTGCCTTTGTTTCATACTAGTTTCTGAGCTTCTTTAAAAAGATTGCCCTTTCTAAAATTTCCCAACAACGATGAATAGCCACATTTGCTTATGCAGTCACAGCACTAATTCATTTCTAATTGCTAATAAAAAACTACTTAATTAGCAGATTATATAATGATTTTTTTTTTAACTTTATGAAATTAAACTCTATTTCAGTTCATGTTTTTAGTTGCAGCAGACAGCTAAGGCAGAAGAATTAAATATGTAGGATTCCTGTCTTTTATGCCATAACCATTTTCCCCATTTTTAAGATGGATCAGATTTATAAATTCTGTCATAATATAAAACAATGTTTCACTAGAAGGAGAAAAAAGGGAGGAAATGCTAGTAGCATATGGAGAGCAGGACTGCCATACATTGGAGCTATTTTGTGCTATTGCTACAACCAAGATTAATGAACACAGAACAAATGGTTGACATATAACCTACCCATGGGAGTTCCGACACCATAACCTTTTGAGTCTATCAGGCCTCCAATCTGTGTTAGGTTACAGTTCCGCTGTGTGACAAACTCAATGGTTGTTGACTCCATTAAAAAGGCATAATCAGAGGTGAGTACACGCTGGATACCTTCTTCATTACTTTTGACAAGCACTGACTGCCTCCTGCTACTCATAAAGGCCCACATCTTGTCATAAGTAGAAATTTTTGATTTCTGAAACAAAAAATATTAAAATGCAACATTAATATAAGTGCTATATTTATAAAATTATGGAAAAATTCTCAACTAGTACAGGATTTGTAGCAATAATAATTTCTTTAATATTGTATGTCTACAGATGGGCAAGATTGTTGAATGGACTCAGCCCCTTTTTAGACAAAATAACCTGCCAGATTTTCAAGATTGCTTATATTGGCAATTGTTCAGCTCTTTTGCAAATTTGGGGAAAAAATCCTGGACCCATTTTAAATACATAGCAAATCTTCCATTCACTTCAGTAGTCCTAGCATTTTCATCTCTGTCCATGTGTGTCACAGCTGGAACTGCTGAGCTTGTGACTTTGAGATGTTTGACTCTTATTTCAGTTCTTTAACCATCACTGAGCTTTTAAAAAAAAAATGACCCGCAACATCTTGATTTTAAAGGTAGTCAAAGTGTTTGACTGGAACCAGCACTGAGCAAGGACCTGGAATCAGGAGAACAAGAGTTCTGTATCCAACTTGGCTATTTGGTCTGACTTCTCCTTTTGATACCTCGCTTTCCCTTTAATAAAATGATGGTGTTAGTATTTACCCATCTTAAGGGTGAAACCTATATATAGCTCTGAGTTATTATGATCCCTATTCTTTTCATCATATTTCCCTCTTTCATCCAAGAATGTCCCAGGCCAAGATGTATAAAAAGATGTGCTGTATTGTTATCGCTTAGTCAGTAAGCCAAGTGGAGAAAGCCAGTATAGAAGACTGCTATAACCAGACTCTTCAGGGAGTCACACCTCTGTTAATGTCAGCCATAACCATAACTTCTTCTCCAGCTCTGGGAGAGACAATGAGCAAAGATTGACATTGCAAACCTTTCTGAATTTCAGCTGACTGGCAGCTGTAACTTCTGCCCCAAAGGAAAATTAGTGGTGGATGTGAGATATAAAGAGGAACATTTATTCAGAATAAGGATGACTTTGTATCCCTGCTGAGATACAATCCAAGGCTTATTTCAATCTGCCTGGGGACTTCAGCAAATCTATCATTCAAGCATTTGAACTAACTCCAGTAGCCAACACTAATAAAATTGAAGAGTTTTATGTCCCTCTGCAAGGGCTCACTGTTACTGTGCCAAAACATGATATGCTATTGATTGCAGAGAATTTCAATTGTGAATGTGGAGAAAAAATATTTTTTATAAGAATATAATGGGAATAGAGAAGAACAAACAAACAAGATCTCCTTCTGGTCTAAGAATCAAACAGTTCTTGCAAACACTTGATATTAATATTACAATGTAAAGGAATATGTTTGAGCTCCATTTAACAGCTCCACGGGAAACAAAATTATGATATCATATAGTTAAGATGGAAAAACAATGTTTTCTAATAACTGCACAATTCTGAAAGTGCCCAAATCAACATTTATTTTCTTTTCATCATTTAAGCTCTACCCCAAGTGCATAAAACAATCTTTTTAGCCACTGTGAAATATCCTAAACAACACTGAAAATTGATACATGGAATGACTGAGGAAAACTATCAGACACATTCCTGATGTGTGCAGGAAAGAAAAACCAAATGAACTATAGGGGAAATGAAGTTCAAATATACCATGATGTTGCAAAAGGAATCACTGGGATGAAAACGTGTCGGAAATGGAAACAGTTGCTGTCTGATGCATTACAGTATGTGAAAAAAATGCAAGATGCTCAAAAATGAAAAGTATGCACTAAGACCCTCTATAGTAAGATGGATGAGAGAACTGATTTAATCACCTGGTAAAAAATCCCAGTTACATTGTAAAAGGAAATAACACCATAACAAGGGAATGTTTCTAGCAAAGACGGGACACTTGCGAGAATCATTAAAACAATGAAAAATAAATCAACATCTTATGCATGATTTGTGAGACAGCAGAAGACAGAGCAAAGTTTAGAATATTAATGCAAGGTACTATCCATCTATCTACCAAAACATGTAACCATGAAGGACAGTGTGAAACATGGAATGACCTCACTTCATTTCTCATGCAGGAAGAAACAAAAAAAAATATCTCCCTTGTACTGCTTTTATTCATCCCAGAAAAGGTAAAGATTATTGATGAAATGAGGCCAGAGAAAACAGACAGCCCACTAGTGAGCACAGATCATATATTTGCAATATCTTTATAGTACACTATTATAAAGGAGTTTTCAAAATTGTTTTATATACAACAGGGACACTTTTGACACAAAGAACAAGAGTTTGGTTTCAAAGTCACACAATCACAAATATAAATCTTATATTTTTCCTGTTTTTAGTAACTCTAATTGGAATCAATGAACCAAAATATTACAGACATCACAGGTTTGATTGATATAGAAAATGACACTACAATATGTACATAGCACTTCTGGTGGCTAAGATTCTGACTTCCATACTGATAGAAGCAGATGTCACAATTTAGATGATGTTTCCATCTTCCTTATCTGTGAGAGAATCTGATGAATTGACAAACAGGCTCCAATGATGAAGTGTATTATTTTATTTTGGTTAGCACAACAAAACGATCATTATCTGACCTAACTGCAAATCAGTTTCTCCACTGGAAGTAGTGCGTAGATGGGATAATGTGTGGTGACATGATTTATTACTCTTGTGTTCCCACAGTAACACAGGAGATAATGCAGTGTAGTAATTAGGGCTGTGCAATACAGCACCATTTTGTTTTCACTTCCATGTCACCATTTTGAAGGGACAGTGTTTTGTTTTGCTGTTTTGAAGCACTGCTCTATTGAGTTTTGTCAACACTGTTCGCTGTTTCAATGCATTTCGACATTTTGCCCTTATGCTATAATGGGGAATCATGAAAATGCCTATAGCTTTGTCATTTCTTTCCTGATTTGAATGAAAGCAACAGGGATGATGGCCCCTGCTGAGGTCTATCAAATTTTAAGGAGATAGGTGCAGGGGTTTCTGGGAAACTGCACCTCCAACTGTTCAGAGCAAAACTCGTGTCACTTGTAAGTATGAAGGCACAGGGGGATGAAAACAGCAGGAGAGGTAGCCCCTGCTGAGGCCATGAAGTCTGCTAGGTTTCAAGGAAATAGGTGCAGGGGTTTCTGGGAAACTGCACCTCAAGTTGCTGATAAGCAAAACCCATGATGTGTGACTTTGTGTGTGTGTTAAGGTGCAGCGGAGTGAAAACAGCAGGGATGGTAGCCCCTGCTGAGGCCATGAAGCCTGCCAAGTTTCAAGGAGATAGGTGCAGGGGTTTCTGGGAAGCTGCACCTCCAACTGTTCAGAGCAAAACTTGTGTCACTTGTAAGTGTGAAGGCACAGAGAAAGCTCAGTTCAAACAATGCTTTTTATGCTGGTTTTTTTGTCCCTCCCCTGGAGAACTGGGATTGGATGGGATCTCAGGGAAGGAGCACAGTCACTGGCCAGCTACACATGTCAATATCAGACCAGTCCTTCCCCCTCTCTTCCTCCTCCCTCTCCTTAGTTTCTGTTTAGCCATAAGCAAGTCCAGCTTCAAAACTCGAAGCTTTTCAAAACTTTTGAAACGTTTTGAGTGCCCTCGTTTCATTTCAAAGCTGTTTTGAAGCCTTTTGTTTCATTTTGATTGTGCTGTTTTGAACCCAAAATGCATCAAAACAGCTTTGAAATAAAACATCCATCAGAATTTCGCACAGCCCTATAAAGCAAGATGCCTATGCTTTGTAAAATGTGTATTAAATTGGAATACAAAACAGAAGATGGCAATGACCCTAAAATATCCTAAATAATTGGAAAACTGGAAATGAAGAGGTTAAGAAAATCAAGAAGTTCAGTTATCTGGTGCATGAAGGGAGCTATCACAATGACAACCAGAGGAGGCTGCCAACAGCATATTCAGTGCTCATAAATTAAAGATTATTTGAAGATAACTGTGTGTGTCAGGGATCATGAGTATAAGAATGGCTAAGCCTCTGACTTAGCCTATTGCTATGCATGTCGGGGAAGACTGGAGAGGCAAGGCAGCATCTTTAGTAAAGTGTTGTTATTACTATATACTGCAGTACTGGACAGAAAAGAAAAATGTCTGAGCAATGCGGCAATGTTGAATGAAATGGTGGAGAGAATATCAGGATGCTGTGTGATTGCAAGGGATAATGTCAAAATAAAGAAAGATCAAAGGAAAGGCACAGGAAATATGGTAGATAGACAACATCAAACATTGTGTTTGAGAGAGCAAAAGTGGATGAATATCTATCAGGAGTGTGTAATGCAAGAACATTTTTTTTTTATAAAAGGATTTGTATTGTCCTTTTTTGCAATTTTAACAATAGAAAATATGCTTTGATTATATCATATAATTTTGTTCCTAGCTTCTAAAAAAGTTTAAATAGAATGGGCAATATCTCAGGCTCAGATATAGCCACATAACCTCTTTTAATTCAGTAGAGTTGGGTGAGAGTAAATGAGGGTAGAATACAGATAATTTATTGTATGCATATCATTTTCTCTCTGGAAGAAGAAAGTAATAAAGTAACAAACAAACAAACAGTCTCTCTCTTTCCCCTCCCCCTCCCATACTGACCCAGTCCCCATCCAACACACACCCAAGTTTTAGGGGCTAATTCACATATACCAATACTTTTACATTTCATGTAAATGAGAATTTGCCCTTAATAGTTTCATAGTTGGTAGGGGCAGAAGGGACCTGAGCAGATCATCAAGTCCAACCCCTGCCATGGCAGGAAAGAGTACTGGGGGCAAACGACCCCGGCAAGGTGTTCATCTAGCCTCCTTTTAAAGACCCCCAGGGAAGGAGCCAGCACCACTTCTCTTGGAAGTTAGTTCTAGAATGGGGGCAGCCATTTCACTGAGCTGCCTCCCTCTGGCTTGATTGCCTTCTCCTGGACCAAAATATCTTCCCCACTTGGTTGTGCTCTCAAGAAAGCACTCTGCAATGCCTTGTTTGTGGCCTAGTGGATAAAGCATTTTGCTGGGAAATGGAAGTTGCTAGTCCAACACCCTTCTGGCTGAG